TTTGATCTTTGTTTTGGCGGGGAAGGGGAGATGCCGGGCCTGTCACATGCACTTATGCCAGCTCAGGAGTCCAAGAGGTGGTCGTTTGGACGGCTTTTACTTCTGCCTGTCATTCAGAAGGGTCTATTTTTGGGCCCGAAAAAGTCAAGAAAAATTAGACACGCAAATACGGGCCTCCCCAGTATACGCCCCCCCGCCTCCCGTCCCATGCTCGATTCTGCATGCTGAGAACATGGTAGCCGCAGCGGGCAGTAATCAACCATGAGTGCCCCATGGTGACAACGCCGTTCAAGTTAGTTGAAGTTGGATGGATTGCTCTTCGTGGAACTTGGGTACTTTGTGTAATTTGGTGCGTTTTATTGGAACTGTTCGTGTGGTGTAGTGCGAAGGTCTCGACTGCTACTGGCACCACTCGCGCTCGCAGTGGCAGAGGGTGGCTCACTGCTCTCCGCAGGGTTCATCATTTGGGCTATGAGCGGGTGAGTATGCTTGTCGCGCAGGATGCGTGTCATTTCGCGGGTAAATGCCGCAGGATCATCAACTAATTTCTTTGCTTCCTCCAGTGGCTTGTCCAGAACAATGGCAATAAGCATTTCCCCGCCATCTTTTGTTTTCGCACAGAGTACGCTCCCATTCTTCCAGTGCCCTCTGCGCCAGGGTATCAGTCTGTGGTGGGGCTTTCAGGGCAGCTGGTGTTCCTAACGCTTGTATGAAGGGGCTGTCCGGAGGAATAGGGGGCGGAAAATGCCGAATGGCCGAAACGGCACGCTGAAGGTCATCTACCTGTACTTCATAGGAAGTGGTCGTTTTTTATTTACTGCAGGTTCGGAGTCAGCCCATAGCTGTTCCAGCGTATATCCAGGTCTTGGTTCCATATACTTGCGGTTCCACACTGCATGATGGGACCATTGAGGCGCGTCATGGTTGATTTCAACAGAATCTCGTTTTATGTCGTATTCCTTAAGCATATCGTCTCATTCTTGCAAACTAGCAGTTCTGTGAATGCAACATTGTCTGACAGCGCCATCGATGTGGAGTGGCCATCCTACTGGCATGTGGGAGTCTTCCAGGAGCCCATCGTCATTTTGCTCCATGATTGTACCCAACATGGGGACATCAATAGTTGCTTTCAGGCTGACTTGTGCACGTTTGCACTTCCATGTATCAGGTGCCAACAGGCCCCTGCTAGCCAACAGCTCAAGCGACTGGAATTGCGGTTGGTCAGTCGCTGGTAACACTTCTTCTTTGATAACTAACTTAAGACCATGAAGTGGCTGGGCTTGCTCCTTGTGAGGGTCTTGAGATTGCTGAGAGGTAGGATCCTTAGGTGTTGTGTCCTCAAACTGGCTGGCATTAACAGAGTTACCATCCATTCAGCTAAGAATTCAATCATCTTGACTTCAAGTTTGGGGAGGATGGCTTGAACTGCTCGGAGGGCGCCTGCAATGTCCGGAACATGTTTACGTGAGGGAAGTCCAACTGTGCGCTTGGCGTACTCGTCCGCAAAATAAAGTCTGCACAATTTTGAGACCCATTGGCTCGGTTTCTCCATATCGATGGTAATTTTGGCTAAGGGCCATGGGTCTGGGAGCGTGGATAGGCAATGCAATAACTCAGAGGTGAGGTCTGCTGATATTACTGGGAGGGCTTCTCCTTGTGGGCGATAATCAACAGGAGGTCCAACCATGCCTTTACTTCTTTGCGTGTGGCTTCCTTCACACTCCAAACCTCACACTTCAGACTTCACACTTCACACTGCGCTCTTCGCACTCCAAACTGAAACTTCACACGGTGCGGGCGGCACTATGCACAGCTTGGATGGTGGTTTCGTATTGGTTGACCATGGCTCTCAGGTATTTACATGCGCGGACAGCTGCTTTTCTTGTGCTCGGGCCATCCTCTGGCTGGTTCTTGGCGGCCACTGCAAGAATGTCCCTCGCTTCTTCTTCTGGCGACCGTTTGGGTTCCGCATCAGGTGTAGGTGCATCAGGAGCGGTACCTTGAACTGGTGCCTCTGCTGCGCGTGGCAGGTGGTCTGGGATTGGCAAGTTTGGGTGTAATCGCCATCCATCAAAGAAATATATGCCAGGCAGGGACAGGATCTCCTGGTCTGGGCCTGTCTGCGCTACTACATTCCCGGTGCGTGCTTTACACAGTCCTGAAGGTAGGCACACGTAGGTGGGAAAGGGTGTGCGATCAGCAGCATAGGCATATAGGACGACTTCGGAGAAAGGGAGATGTTGCTTGGGGAGCCACTTGTGTTGGGTTCGCAAGCCTGCTTGAATTTCTTGGAAGCGCGCTCTGTCCAACCATCGAAGGTCTGACCCTCGGACCAATATCAAACGGTACCTTGCTCGCTTTACCTCATCAGCATGCTGATCGTAGTATTGGTTGGCGATAGCGAGGGGCGGGTATTCCCAGTTTGGTGGTGAATTCAGTGACCAACGGCTTAATTGCGCAAGATTCTCTTGTACTGGGTCAGGGTTAAATTCTGGCCACTTCCATGTCGTTTCTCGTTTCCTGTTTCTTTCTCCTTTCGCTCGTTTCTTCTTTCTCCCCTCCGTAGGCCCCCGATGCCGTAGGCGATGGTGGCAATCACCTGTGCCATGCCCATGAGCCCCATCATGTCCAGAGGTGAGACTAGCAAGGTTAATGATTTGGACCGGGTGAGTCCTACAGTGATTCTGCCAAACCCCGACTTGTACAGGTGCAGCTCGTAGGCCTGCCAGCATTTTCATCATTAACTGATCTAAGACTGGGTAGCTATCTTCAGGGGAGAGCCTCCATGCAGAGTAGGGGATTCCATCGGGGCCAGGGGCTGAATCTTTAGTGCCAAGGAGTGTATGGAGAAAGTCCTGTTTCTGGGGAAGTTCAATACTTGGCCACGGCGATGCAGTCTGGTACTCCCGTAAAATGGGTTCCCATTCTTGAAGAGAGTCTTGAGGCTTAACAAACCAAAAGTTCTGCGTGTCCAGCATGGCTTCATCCAGCATCTGGGAGGTGGTGCACTGTTCTCCCTGCTGATTGAGGATCGGCCCATTATAGATGACGCCCTTGGGGCAAATAGATCGTAACCGATTCCAAAACGTAATGTTATTGCCGATACCTCTGGCTTGTTGATTTACCTGCTCAAGAGCGGGATATTCCGAGTCATCGTGATCTGGTCTAGAAAATCAAAAATCTGTTTCAACAGATCACTTCGAATTGTTATTTTTCCTGGATATAGCTCACTAACCCCGTTAGAAGTAAATATATGGTAAGTGGCAGTCTGAAGTGCATGATATTGTTTTGCCACCTCAGCTCGAATTTTAAGGAGTTTCCGCAGAAGTTCATGCTCGGGAATCCGAGGATGATCCGATGGAATAGGTTGTTGTCTCCACCACGACCAAAGGGTGGACACAAACTCAACTTCATCTGTTTGGGGTGGTCTTTGGATCCTTCTTATCAGCTCCTGTAGATCGTTAGGAACATATATGGGTTAGCCTCGTTCTTTCCAGGGCAAAACACGTTAGTTGGGATGGTTTGATGGACTGGGTCTTTCATGTCACTTTTGACTCTTGGTCGAACTACAAAGGTCGCGGTGAGTTGGTTCGCATGGTAGCGGAGCCCAAGGATCCAGATTCGAAAGTCTCTGGTGAGGGCTCAGAAAGGTGGCAGGACCCTAACCACCTGGTGGCTGCTGAACCTGCAGCTTAGGACTGTAGGTAGAGCCATAGATCCCTTGCCTGACTGCAGCAATCATTGCGTGTGGACAGGACTCTGACTTTTCACTGGATTCAAGCGATTTGAGTTGGACTGGACTGCACTTCAGTTAGGGACTTCACGTGTTTTCACTTCTGGCTGGTTTGTGTTTACAACTGGGTAATCTGAACTGTTTTGCTGGTGTAACGCTACAATGGCGACAACAGAAGCGGCTCAGATCTTAGAAGCTGTAACCCTGGCGGCAAGAGCAGCTTCGGAGGCAGCTCAAGCCTTGAAGGAGGCAAATGACCAGAACAGGAGCCAACGTTCAGGCTTCTCAGAGGCCAGTAAGGTGGTGAAGTGCCCATCTCCGTTTGGATGCAGCAACTCAGCGGAGGACCAATCAATGTGGCTCGATTTCAGTTTTGCTTTCAAACAATGGCTTTACTATGCAGAGCCTGGATATGAAGTTGATCTGACACACATCGAGGAACACTTGAACACTCCAATTGTGTACAATCAGACTCCAGAAGGTGAGAAGTCAAAAGAGAGATCCAAACGTCTCTATGCTATCCTTTCAGGTTTGCTCGTGCATCGACCCCTCAAATTGCTCAAGCAGGTTGTGGATTCAAATGGACTGGAAGTTTGGCGACAACTTTCAAGCTTGTATTCACCTAGGACCAAAACGAGGTCTTTGGGCATTCTCAATGCTTTGATGGCTCACCCATCCTTTGTCAGGGAGCGCACCATCCTCGAGCAGATTCAAGGTCTTGAACGACTGGCTGATGAGTATCGTAGGGCAAGTGGCTCTGATGTCAGTGATGACATCTTGTTGACAACACTTGTGAAGTGTTTGCCTGCTCAGCTGCGTCAACATGTGCAGCTGACTATGGATGAGGCCAGCACCTTCCAGCTGGTCAAGGACAAGTGCATTGCCTACGAGAGACTCAGCATGACGTGGTCGAAGGACAAAGTCTATGCAGAGCTTGGTGCAGTGACTTCATATACAACTGACAATGGTGGTCCATCTGCAATGGAGGTCAATTAGATCTCAAAGGGCAAAGGTAAGAGCAAAGGTGCAAAGGGCAAATCAGGATCGAAAGGCAAAGGAAAGGACAAAGGGAAGTCCAACAGCAGCAACTACAAGGGCAAGGCAAGTCACAGCAGAGCGGCAAAGGTTATGCAACTTCAACCGCCAAAGGTGGAGGAAAGAATCAGTCAAAGAATGCTGATGCAAACCGTTGCAACTACTGCGGTGGCCATGGACATTGGAAGCGCGATGTTGTCGGAAGTTTCAAGCTGACAAAGCTTCTGGTCAGGTTCGACAAGTAGAGAATGAGGATTTAGCACAGAGGGCAGCATCGAGCCCCAGCAATCATTCGACTGCTCAGCACTCAGTAAGTGCGACATCATACAGGTCTGGCGGGAATGTGAATCGAGTAGCTTTCAATGAGAGCTCAGTGGTCATTGAAGATTTGACAGAGTTTTCTCAGCCTGCAGCTCATAGTTCCATTCGTGTGATTCAGTTTGCATGTTCTCAACAGTTTGACATGTCTTGCACTGATCAGGATGATTCATGGACTTGTGCTCCAGGTTGCAACATCGATTTACCTGCAGGAACCACGTGCGTACAGTACTATCGGGTGACACGTTTTCATTGGTAAGAATCCGGGTGAAATTTGATGCTATTTTCATCGCTTTGTTATTTCCCTGAACCTCTTTTTGTTTCCCAGAGTTCTTGACCCTGAACGTCTTTTTGTTTCCGGGGTTTCTGATTTATGTCCCTCAATCGCGTATTTATGTCCCCAGGTGCCTTGTTTATTTCCTTGAGTCCCATATTCATGTCCCAGAGCTCCTTATTGAGCTGCTGGAGCGCTTCGAGTTCCTTGCTCGCTGCCCTGAATTCATGATGTATTTCCATGCATGCTCTATTTGGACTATTGCGCTCACTTCGCTGTTTATTTCCTTGCGTTCTTGTTGTTTCCTGTGCTCCTTATTTGTTTCTTGCATCGTTCATTTATATCCGGAAATTCATGATTTATTTCCCCGAACCGCTACTTTATTGTCAGTGTTTTCCATATTGATTTTCCCGAATTCTTTTCTTTCCCATATCCCCGGGCTTCTTTCAAGGTTCTGAATTTCTCTGCATATTTCCCTGAATTTCGTCGGCTCCTTTATTTCCTTGTTTATTTCGATAGGTTCGTTTTTATTTGTTTGTTTCTGTGAATTTTGATTTGTTTCTCTGAGTCTGAGCCCCTTGTATTTTCTTCCCTAGCAAAGACACATCAAGTAGTTAAGTTGAAGCGCCGCCCTCAATGATGACAAAATGCGTTTGTTGGATATGTAAATTGGAGAGAAGCTTTGAAACATATACATTACTTACTTGCCATCATTGAGAGCAGCATTTTCGTTCGTTCACTTGTTGCTTCTTTGGTTGTTAGCCATCATTGAAGGCGGCGGTGTCACTTAATTACTTACTGTTCGTCTGCTTCGTGTTGCAAAGAAGTCCGTAGCCCATGTTTTTTATTTACATTGCATGGACATATCGTGAAGCTGGTAACGGCTTCAAATTTCACCCGGATTCTTACCAATGAAAACGTGTCACCCGATAGTAGTTGCAGTTGCCGTACGCTGGTGCTGTGCACCACAATGCTAAAAAGCTTTCCCAGACCTAGTTTTTTAGATTGCACCAGGGCAGCGTAAAGCCGTTAAATCGTAAAGTTCAATTTTCTTCAAAAAAGCTCTTTGATGTTTTAAAAAAATCCCAACTTTACCACTTTATGATTTTATGATTTAATGATGCGATTTTCAATCTAAAATGTAAAACCAAAGGTAATTGAGAGAGGGCGGAATTTAAAAATAGCCACGAACTTTTTCGCAAGACTAGGAAGGGTGTTTTGGGCTTGTTCCCATTTCATCCTTTTCCAATGGATGAAAATTTTATCTAAGTATTTCGCTGGTTTTGATCTTGGGGTCTTGAGGAACGCCGATTTGAACTGGTTCATCAGTGCTGAAGAACAAAAGTGACGGCGCCCACCATCAAAAAGAACATTTATTGAAGTGTGCTTTCAAGGTTTTTCCTGGTTACGGTTTTTCTGTTCAAAGTATTTCAGGGAAGCTGCTTTATCTGAAGGCACTATTGCCTGCCAGCAGTGACGACGACAACGTTTTCTTAAACTCCGCGCGTATGCGACTGCAGCGTAGCAATGAGAAAACAAAGGCTATTGAGTAGACTTTGCGCTGCTTGCCGGTGAATGCCTGATGCCATTTTCTGCTTCCATTTTTGGTTGCGCTTCTGTCGAATTTTCAATAGATGAAGCCACATTTTGCTTCATTTTCAACACCACCGCTTGGCTTCAAACATGTCATTGACTATGAACTATGAACACAATTCCGCAGTTTGGGAGCATGTCTGTCATGAAGGTTTCCAGCGCAAGAAGCAACCAGTGGTGGTTCTTGACATGTCCCAAGGTGATAGCACATGCAAATCGATTGATGGATGCTGCCTGTCGTCCATCTTGTCCTGTTTATCAACATCCATGTTTCCATACGTGCCTGCTTTCCAAGCATTGCCGCGAACCAAGGTGAAAATGACTTTAAAGAGGGGGCTTGATTTCATGCTTTTTAGACCTGACACGGATATAGACAGTCTTGACATTCTTCTTGTCATGTTGCTGATTGAAATATGCATCCATTGGAAAAGGATGAAATGGGAACAAGCCCAAAACACCCTTCCTAGTCTTGCGAAAAAGTTCGTGGCTATTTTAAATTCCGCCCTCTCTCAATTACCTTTGGTTTTACATTTTAGATTGAAAATCGCATCATTAAATCATAAAATCATAAAGTGGTAAAGTTGGGATTTTTTTAAAACATCAAAGAGCTTTTTTGAAGAAAATTGAACTTTACGATTTAACGGCTTTACGCTGCCCTGGTGCAATCTAAAAAACTAGGTCTGGGAAAGCTTTTTAGCATTGTGGTGCACAGCACCAGCGTACGGCAACTGCAACTACTATCGGGTGACACGTTTTCATTGGTAAGAATCCGGGTGAAATTTGAAGCTATTTTCATCGCTTTGTTATTTCCCTGAACCTCTTTTTGTTTCCCAGAGTTCTTGACCCTGAACGTCTTTTTGTTTCCGGGGTTTCTGATTTATGTCCCTCAATCGCGTATTTATGTCCCCAGGTGCCTTGTTTATTTCCTTGAGTCCCATATTCATTTTCCAGAGCTCCTTATTGAGCTGCTGGAGCGCTTCGAGTTCCTTGCTCGCTGCCCTGAATTCATGATGTATTTCCATGCATGCTCTATTTGGACTATTGCGCTCACTTCGCTGTTTATTTCCTTGCGTTCTTGTTGTTTCCTGTGCTCCTTATTTGTTTCTTGCATCGTTCATTTATATCCGGAAATTCATGATTTATTTCCCCGAACCGCTACTTTATTGTCAGTGTTTTCCATATTGATTTTCCCGAATTCTTTTCTTTCCCATATCCCCGGGCTTCTTTCAAGGTTCTGAATTTCTCTGCATATTTCCCTGAATTTCGTCGGCTCCTTTATTTCCTTGTTTATTTCGATAGGTTCGTTTTTATTTGTTTGTTTCTGTGAATTTTGATTTGTTTCTCTGAGTCTGAGCCCCTTGTATTTTCTTCCCTAGCAAAGACACATCAAGTAGTTAAGTTGAAGCGCCGCCCTCAATGATGACAAAATGCGTTTGTTGGATATGTAAATTGGAGAGAAGCTTTGAAACATATACATTACTTACTTGCCATCATTGAGAGCAGCATTTTCGTTCGTTCACTTGTTGCTTCTTTGGTTGTTAGCCATCATTGAAGGCGGCGGTGTCACTTAATTACTTACTGTTCGTCTGCTTCGTGTTGCAAAGAAGTCCGTAGCCCATGTTTTTTATTTACATTGCATGGACATATCGTGAAGCTGGTAACGGCTTCAAATTTCACCCGGATTCTTACCAATGAAAACGTGTCACCCGATAGTATGATGTCAGCAGCAGGTGAACTCAGCTCAGAGATCATTCTTGACTCCGGTGCTGACACAAGTGCCTTACCACTTTCATATGGTGATGTTGGTGAATCTTGCAACGATGTTGGACTTCAAGATTACATTGATGCACAGGGTGGCAAGCTTGACATTCGTGACACACGTCTTGCAACTGTTGACTTAGGGAATGGTGTCATCCTGCGCGAGAGGTTCATCATCGCCAACATCAGCAGCCCACTTCTTGCTATGGGACACATCGTCCGCGCTGGTTGGGAGCTTCATCATTTGAGTGATGGCATTTACCTTGTGAAGAATGACAAAAGCATCAATGTCAACTTTCGCAGAAACTCTTTGTGCGTACAAGGCTGCATCAGAATGGTTTCTCAGGATGATTGTTTCAGCCCTAAGGCATCTGACACAACTCCAGGTGAGATCAGGGCAATTCACTTGGAACCTGTGCTTAGGCGACTTTTGCCAGGCTGGAACAGGATCAACCCACAGCTTTTTGTGCTGAGAACTCGAAGGCCTAACTTTGTTGACACGACAGTTTGTCCGTCAACAGAAATGATGTGGTTGCGCACAACTTTGGTTTTTCGTGATGGTCGTGGCTGGGAATTGCTCGAATTTTCTGAACCTGTCAGTGAGCTGGAGGAACTTGAAGGTGCCATCTACGACCCAGAGTCAGTTTTGGAGGTCATGACATTGGCACATGCCCACTGTGTTCCTTCAGAAGATCTTGGTTTTCGCTTGATTGAAGGTGATCAGAGACCAATTTTTGATGATGACATTCCTGCGGATGAGATGCAGGATGGAGAGGATCAACCTCAACCTGTGCATGAGGCCCCTGCAGACACTGAGGAGGCCGAGCCTTTGGATGAAGATCGCGTCATCCCCTTTGAGGAGGACTCTTCAGTTGCAGTTGAAGGTGTTGTCTACACCCCAGACTCCAGTTTGCGTGCTTTGAGAGCTGGTTGCACTGCACTTGGTCTGTCAAAAAGGGGTTCCAAGAAAGAATGTTTCAAGCGCATGGTTGAGCACATGAGAACTCAGAGCCTAATCACTTCACAGAGCGTCGAGGCCAAACTGAAACAGGGTTCAGAGAGACATGCAATCCCACAGCGTAAGCCGAAAGAACCAAGTGAGCAAGTCAAAGATGTTCATGCTTTGACACATGAGCCATATGAGGAATGGTGTAGTCTTTGCGCCACCAACAGGGCCAGACAGGACCCACATCGACGTCAAACTCATGAAGGTATTGGCCATAGCGTTGTGAGCTTTGATTTCGGGTACTGCAGTCGTATGAAGGGAGAAGAAGACAAGTTGACTGTACTTGTGATACATGACAGAGATACCAACATGTGTGCAGCACTGCCCACGCAACAAAAGGGTGGTCGCAGTTTCCAATACTTAGTCACAGAAATGAGCAGGTTCATCGTTCAAACAGGTCACACAGAGCTCAGCCTGAAGTGTGACTGTGAGCCAAGCACCACGTCCCTTGCAGAAGCAGTTCGAAAAGCTTGCGCTGGCCTGAGAATTGTGGTTCACTTGGAACCCACACCAACAGGTGACCATCAGGCAAATGGCGCAGCAGAGGCCATGGTGCATGTTTTGCGCACAAAGGCCAACTTGCTTGTTCAACAGATTGAGGAAGCCACAGGTTGCACCAAACCAGTTTTCGGTTGTCTTCACCCAGTCTATGCTTGGGCAGTTGTGCACAGCAGTTGGTTGCACAATCACTTTGTTGTGAACAAAGAGACAACTGGATATGAGCGATCAACAGGTCGTCTTTACTCAGGCAAACTCGCTCTTTTTGGCGAAACGGTGCTGGGTTACCTCAAAACTGACTTGAAAGGACTTCCAAAATGGTCCAAGGGAGTTTGGCTTACAAAAACCATGATGAATGATTGCCATGTGATTGGAACTGCAACAGGAATCTTTGTCACGAGAAGTATCAGGCGACTTCCTACTTCTTTTCAGCTGGAACAACTTGGTGAGTTGACAGCCTGCCCATGGGAGTACGGATATGCAAATCTTGGTCATCGTCTTGTTTACTCAAAGAGGGTATCACAACCCTTTGGTGTCGCAGTTGGAGCCAATTTGCAGCTTGGTGACAAGGAAGCTTTAGCTGTCAGAGACTATGCTCGTGCACATCCATATGAGGATGCAGACCCTAAAGCAATCTCAGCCGAGGCGGGGATTCAAAGTTCAAATGAAGCTGGACAAGCAGAGGTTTCAACATCAACCCCTGCGAGTGGAGAGCTTGGAAGTGGTGGCCCATCATCGAGTGCAAGGCCAGATTCAGGAATGCCACAAGCTGAAGGTTCGTTTAGTGGATCTTCGAAGCATGCAATTGAACATGATGATGTTGGCGCAGAGGCCAAACGTTTGCATTTCTCTGGACATGGTGACAGCTTGCCTCATGGTGATGTAGTGCCACAGACACCTGTCCCAGTAGCTGGTGATATACTTGATGATACTCCGGTTGAAAACATGATGAGCCCAGCAAAAGCCAGCAAACATGAGAGCGGTGGTGGTGTCAATCTTCTGGGTGCCATTCGCAACATTGAGCACCTAGACATCGAGCCTGATGTCCCTCTTCATTCCGATGATGTGGATGCTTTGATTCAGCATGAATTGAACTTGGATGAGGATCCCTATGAGGTTGAGATCGACATGAATGCGTGTCTCAAAGAGCTTAGCTTCCCATACACTCCACATGAGCCAGAATTGTCACAAGAGGATCTACAAAAGCTTGATGCAATTGCAGACCAAGTCGAGGTTCAACGGTTGGTTGGACTTGAAGTCCTGAAACAGGACAACTTGCCAGCAGACTGCAAAACCCTGAGCACGAGATTCGTCAGAACTTGGAGAGAGAAGAAGAATGACTCAGGTGAGGCAATTTGGCTTCGTCGCAGTCAACTGGTGGCACGGGAATACACTTGGCTGCAACCAGACAGGGAATCACTCTTTTCCCCCGCAACTTCAAGCTTGGCAAGCAGAATCCTACCAATTTGCTTTTTGGCCATGAAAGAACACCAGGATTGCATTATGGCGTCAATAGACGTCAAAGACGCCTTTCTCACAGTGAAACAAGAGGTGGACACTCGAGTGACATGCACAGATGCCAATGGAAACTCCGTGCAGTACAGCTTAGGCCGTGTTTTGCCTGGGCAAAGAGACGGAAGTTTACTCTGGTACAGAGACCTTGCGAAGTTTGTCAAGGAGTGCACGCTTGAGATGACAGAGCTGGATGCCTACCCAAGCATCTTGAGAAGCAAGACTGGCAACTGCTTCTCGATGGTCCATGTTGATGACCTTCTCATCGTCGGCAGCCGAGACGCCGTGATGAAGCAGCTTGTGCCTTCACTGCAATCGAAATATGCAATCTCCATTGAACTCATGTCGAAGCCCGGAGATGAGGTCACTTTTCTCAAGCGCACCCATGAACTGCGGGAAGATGGCAGGATGGTGATTCGAGTGCATCACAAGCACCTCGATCAGCTGTGCAAGCTTTTGTGTCTCTCAAAGAGACTTCAGAGCAAGAAGACCCCAGGTCACAGCGAGATGGAGATCCCGGACAAGACCCAAGAACTTGAATCTCATGATGCTTCAGTGTACCGCACTTGCGTGGGGATTCTTCTTTACTTGTCAGCTGACCTGCCGCAATGCCAGTATGTGATTCGATATCTATCCACTTTCTCTTCAAAGCCAACTGAGAAATCCCTGATGGTGTTGAAACACCTGGTTGGCTATATGGCAGCACACTCCGAGCAGTGTATGTCTTTGAAATGGAAAGGTTTGCATGCTGGTGTTTTCAAGCAGTACGAGAACGAGGAGCCGATGGTGGAAATTTTCAGCGATGCTGACTGGGCGGCTGACAGGGAGACAAGACGCTCTGTCTCAGGAGCTGCAATTTATGTTGGTGGATGTCTCGCCTATTCAAGCTCCAGGACACAGAAAATCGTGTCACTTTCGAGCGCAGAGTCAGAAACATATGCAGCTGCGTCAGCCACCATGGATGCGATCTTGATCACAACCATCTTTTCATGGCTTCTCCAATGTCACTTCATGATGTGTTTGTATCTGGATTCATCAGCGGCGAGAGGTGTTCTTTCTCGCAAAGGTGTAGGTCGCTTGAGGCATTTGTCATGCAGGATCTTGTGGATGCAGGACTTAGTCATGGAAAAGCGTTTACTGGTGAGAGCAGTGATGGGCGCACTCAACCCTGCAGACATTGCCACCAAGAGACTCAGCGCAGCAAGGCTCGAATCTTTGTGTTATTTTTTGGGTATTTGGAGAGGAAACAATCTCGAAGGATCACATGACCCAGGAAATATTTTCAGGCATCTCACAAATCAACGACAACAGGGCCACAGCCAGGCACAGATCAACCTTTTGATTAGCGCCTTGAGCGTGCTTACTCAGCTTCAAGGGTGTTCTGACGCCATGGATTCTTTGGCAACTGGAGGATGTTTCTTCAATGCCGTGTTTTTGTTCACATGGCTGCTGGGTTTGATTGGCTACATTTACCTGGCTATCCGCCCCGGTGAACTCCTGAAGAATTTTGATTTTGTGAGCGATGCTGAGACTTCGAGCACTGGTGCCACAGAGGATCCAATGGACAACAGCTCAAGCAGCGATGCCTCTGACCATCCAGCTTGGTCCGAAGAAGGCATGGTTCACTGGCTTTATGAGCGATGTGAGAGGAGGCTGGAAAAGGCTGTTACAAAACAGGATCCCACGAGGACAAATCAGTACTTGGCCCGACAGGGTATTCTGAGTGACATGTTGGCCGCTTTGGAGGTGGCCACAGCAGAAACCAGGGGCCACATCAAACAGGTCCTTGAGGACATCACGGATTTATCAAGTGATGAGGACTCACCCACTATGAACACTGGTGGCCATGACATAGCTCTGAATTCTGGAGTTCCGACAGGTATTGCCACAGCTTTTGTGCATGGAGTAGCTGGTATGACCCTTTGTGGATGCGACTTCGGTGACATCGAAATCTCCAACAACAGCAGTGTGATCCCTTTCACAACTATGGTCTTGACTGCATGGTCCTTGGCACTTGGTGGTTACACATGGTACTGGTTGAGACAGCCTGTGAGACCAGTGTATTTCCTGCCAACGACCTTGCCGACACATGCAGCTGAAGCTGAACCTCAGGTCAATGAGGACTTGCAACTTGAAGGGAGCCTGCTGGTAGCTCTGCGGAGGATCAACGGTCGTCTGGAAAGAGCACAGCGAAGAGGCAACATTGGACAAGGCATGAAGTACATGCAGAGCCGAACATGGTTGCTGAGCTGTGTGGCTCACTATGCCAACTGCAGTCCCCAGGAGCGGCTGCGCATGGCTGAGGTGATTGGAGACACCGGCAACCTCAGTGAGGACGACGAGTCCCCGCAGCATGGCATTGGGAATGACGAAAGACATCTCCAATTGGCCGAGGCCGACAAAGCCTTTCGTGCCATTATGACCCTCCTTGAGTACGACAGGTTCGAGGAGGTGACGAAATTGGTAGAACAGCTTGGAGGAGCCCTTCGTGAAGTAGTGCCAGAAAGCCCCAAGTCTGATGAGGAAATGGCCGAAGAAACTCCAGCAGAGAGAGCACAAAGGTATATGAACTGTGGACAGTCTGAGGCATCAGACCCTGACCTCTGGGCAGACATACACTACGGCCCGAGAAATCGCCGAGATGTGACACAGCCAGAGGATGAGACGGAATTGCAAGAATTCTGAGTGGCAGCAGAGAAATGGCACCACAGAAGAATTTCGCATGGTGGAAAAGAAAGTCCACCACGTGGAATCAGTGCCAATAGTTTGAAGCAAAAGGTCTTCACCCTTAGGAATGCTCCAAAAATGGAAACTCGAAGGTCACACAACTGACCTGCGGAGCTTTAGCCATAGGTGGAACTCCAAAATATTTGGGTTCCAAGGCGGGGTGAAAGATACTTCCGCATTTGGATTCATGTACATGTTCACATCAGTTGTGTAGCTGTGCAGATGACATTGCACAAATCGAGTAGTGCATTTCAGGTATGTACTCTGAGGCGCTTTCGGTTCCAGAAAAGTTCGCAGGTTTCTTGACCATATTTTCCGTATAACGGAGTTTAGACATCTAAACTTCCTGCGGCAACTACAATTACAACTAGCAGTTGTGGGTGAGGTGAGGTGATCACTGCAACCACGCCAAAAAACACAATTCCAACCACCTTTCGGTCCATCAGTGAGTGGATTTGCTCTGCCTTCAAGGCGTCACAACAACTGACCTCTCCTATGGTTTTGAAACATATTTACCCTGTTTGTATTCCAGCTCCAATAGCGTATATTCAGTTGTCAGAAACATGTCAACTCAGTGTGCAACATGCACATGTGAATCAGTGTTATGTTGAGGCGCTTTTGACTCAAGGAAAAGTTTCATGGTAGCGGAGCTGTGATCCATACCTGCGGGTTGGTGAGCTCCGAGAGGTGCGGTTGGAACAGGACCCAATTCCAACCCATCTCATCTGGGACAGGACCCTAATCCCAAAGGGCTGCGCTGCCATAGGCATTTGCGGTGTTCTGGATTTACTGGTAACTGGCTGGAAGGTTTGCACAGGCCTTGTGAGGCGTAAACCGACGATTTGCATTGGGGTGCAGTTTACAACAGGCTGGACTGAGTGGGACCATTGACAGTTAACTCTGTTTGGGATTGCCACGTGTTTGCAGCTTCGATTGGACTGACTGGTTTTGCAATACAGCTGGTTTCAGGATTCAGTTTGTGTGTTTTCAGTGTGGTTTTCAGACTGGAAATATGTCACAGCTTTCAGAGGAAGCACAGGTGATCATGCAGAGCGTGACACAGGCAGCCAAAGCGGCTGCTGATGCAGCACAGGCTTTGCGTGAGTCGAACGCGCAGCAGCTGTCTCGAGGCATGGGCTTCTCAGAGGCCAACAAGACAATTCAGTGCCCAAAGGAGTTTGGGAGCTTAGTTTCTTCGGAAGATCATAGCAGCTGGAGTGATTTTTCATTTTCCTTCAAACAATGGTTGTGTTTCGCTGACGCAGCATTTACAGCTGACCTTGAGTTTGTGGAGGAGCACAGCGACGTTGTTGTGACATTCAAGGATACAGCTGAAGGCAAGGCTAGTGAAGCACGTGCCAAGAAGCTCTATGCCATCCTGGCTGGAATTTTGAAAAACAGACCTCTACGCTTGCTTAGACAGGTGACTAGCAGCAATGGGTTGGAAGTGTGGCGACAACTCCATGCACTTTATGTTCCACGTACAAAAGTGCGGTCGATGGCCATTTTAGGCACCATCATGAGCTTTCCCGTCTTTTCGAAGGACAAGACATTGCTTGAGCAGATCCAGGTGCTGGAACGCCTTGGGGACGAGTACCACAAAACAACAGGTACAAACATCTCTGAGGACATCTTGCAGACGATCCTTGTGCGGTCCCTTCCAAAGGCGGTACAGCAGCACATACAGTTGGGGATGTCAAACACCACAACTTACCAGGAGATTCGAGAGCGTGTGATATCATATGAAAGGGTCTCAAGCGCTTGGACAAAGGAGCGCATTCTCATTGAGTGCGGTGCTGGCTCATTGGGAGCCGTGACATCGTATGCAAGTGGAGATACAGGCTCAGGCCCGATGGAAGTCAATTTGCTTCAGAAAGGCAAGGGCAAGAAGGGCAAAAATGCAGGTAAAGGCAAAGGTCAGGATTCTGGAAAGGGCAAAGGCTCTTATGGCAAGGGTAAAGGCAAAGGTCAGGATTCTGGAAAGGGCAAAAGCTCTAACAAAGGTGGTGGCAAATCTCAGTCGAAAGGCAATGCAGCTGGACAGACGAAACAAAAGTTGGACGCAAACGTTTGTGCGTACTGCGGCAAGCATGGTCATTGGCAAAGGGATTGTTACAAAAAGAAGGCCGATCAACAGGCCCAACAAGGTCAAGTGCGTGTGGTTGGTGAAGCCGTGGATAACAAGCAAGACACTGCCCATTCCACAGCCAGTTTCAGTACAGGCTCAGGTTCTCAGGCAGTGCGCTTGGTTTCAGTGCGTGCATCAGACCATCATGTTGGACACTTTGAGGACCTGACAGTACACTCATTACCAACCTCTCCGAGCAGTTCACATGGGGTGCGTGTTTTGAGTGAAATCAAGCGTTTTGACATGTCTGTTACAGACTTTGATGATGGCTGGACCCTTAGTCCTGAATGCGAGTTTCATTTGAGGGCTGTCAGCAACACTGTGAACTTTGATGCAGTCCTTGAGGATTGTGACATCATTTTGGATTCAGGAGCTGACACAAGTGCTTTGCCATTGAAGTTTGCATCAGTTGGTACAGAAGGACCAGCCCCAACAACATGTTACGTTGATGCTCAGGGCGCACCTTTGGATGTCAGGTCAACTAGACTTGCAGATGTGAGGTTTGGTGATGTGATTTTCAGAGAACGTTTCATCGTGTCAGACATCACATGCCCACTGCTCTCTTTAGGCACCGTGCTGCGCTCAGGTTGGAATATCATGCATGTTGATGGAAACCCCTGCCTGGTGAAAGATGACCGCAAAATTGATGTGCTTTTCAGAAACAACAGTCTCTGTGCACGTGGTCAAATTGCGGTTTTGTCACAGCTTGAGCCCAATGTTTTGATCCAACCTGCAGTGAGAGTTGTGCAGCTTGGCATGGTCCTCAGATGCTTGGTGCCTGGATGGAATCGTATCAACCCACATCTTTATGCAATCAAGACAGTGCGACCAGTTCATGTTGACACAACGTTGTGCCCCAGTGATGAACTCATGTGGCTGAGAAGCACTTTGGTTTTCAGAGATGGCAATGGCTGGGAGGTTGATGAGTTTTGTGAGCCCATAGCTGACATGCGGCACAACTTGGAGGAGGAATTTTTCCACCCTGAAAGCGTTGTGGAGGTGATTACACTGGCACATAAGTATGCAATGCAGGATGAACACCTGGGATTTTTCATGCATGATCGTTCAACTGCAGGTCTTGATGCTGCTCAGGTTGATGCTCGAAGCGATGGTGGATACTCTGCAAGCATTGCACCAGACCCTGTGCCAGATGAGGCGCCTGCCAACATGGACGATGCAGAACCCTTAGAGGATGATCGTGTTGTACCATTTTCAGAAGATTCAGAGACAGTGATGGTTGATGGCATTTTGATGTCAACAAACTGCACGTTGAAAGTCTTGAGGGCAGGTTGCAACTCACTTGGACTCTCTGGCAGAGGCAGCAAAAGCAAGTGCTTGAAACGCATGGTGGAGCATGTCAGAGCCCAAACTTTGCTTGCAGCACATGGAGCAGAAATCAAAATGCGCAATGAGCTTGAACGTGCCCCAGTTGCCCAGACAAAGCCAGATGAACCATCGCAGCAGGAGGTGGAAAATCACAGCCTCACCCATGAGCCGTTCAGAGCTTGGTGCTCACTTTGCGTGCAGTATCGTGCAAAACAAGACCCACACAAGCCAAGCACCCATGAATCTTCAGGGCACTCAGTGCTGTCAATGGACTTTGGTTTTTGCAGCAGAGAGGAAGACGAAGCAGACAAGCTTACATGTCTTTTCTTGCATGACAGGGCAACGAAAATGATGGCAGGTATCCCAACTCCTCAGAAAGGTGGCAAGTACCTTCAATACCTCACCACAGAGGTTGTGCGCTTTGTGGTGTTGACTAAGCACCGTGAAATAGCCATCAAAACTGACAGGGAGCCTTCCATTTTAGCTTTGTCAGATGCAGTCCAAAAGGCATGCAGGTCTCTTGGCATTGTTGTGCATGATGAAGCAGTGCCCGTGTCTGATCATCAAGCAAATGGTGCGGCAGAGGTTACAGTTCAAATCCTGCGTGCAAAGGCTGGACTCTTGGTGCAGCAGATTGAAGATTGTGTGGCTGCAGGCAAGGTGATCTTTGGGTGCCTGCACCCTATCTTTGCATGGGCCATCATCCATGCAGCATGGCTCCACAACCGTTTTGTTGTGAGTGGTGGTCAAACTGCATATGAAAGGGCAAATGACAGATGCTACAGTGGCAAGATAGCGATGTATGGTGAGGACATCCTTGGATACTTGAGGCTTGACAAAGCAGGGCCACGTTGGCAGCATGGAATCTGGTTGGGAAAAGTGGCCTCTGGAGACATGCACATTGTTGGTACAAGTCAAGGGATTTTTCTCACCAGAAGCATCCGCAGAAATCCAGTCCCTTTCAGCCTTAGCCGCTTTGCAGACCTTGAGCATTACCCCTGGGAGTTTGGCTTGGCAGCTTTGGGAAGCAGGTTGATTCACAACAAAAGAGTCAGCCAACCTGTTGCTTTTGGTGTTGGTGCTGCGCTTCCACCACAACTTGATCTGGAAGCCATCAATGTGGCCAAATATGCACTTGAGCATCCAGATGAGGATGTCGAACATGAAACTGAGGCGGGGCAACTAGCAACAGAGCCCCTTGATGAGGCTGCCCCGACAACACCTATGCAGGATGTTCCTGGCACTTCTGTTGAACATGGTCAGAAGAGAACAGAAGAAGACCCAAGCACGGAGTCTCCAAAACGTGCTAGGTTTGCAGATGCAGGTTTCAAAGTGCTGGAAGAAGCGTTTTTGCTTGATGACACGGCAGTTGGTGAACAAGCACCCAAAACACCCAAACTTTCTGATGATGATGAGAAAAAGCGTCTGCAGCAGGTGACAAGCACAGACCTCAGCTTGTATGAACACGAGGATCAGCCGGTGAAATTTTCTTTTCATGCAGATGAGTTGGACGAGTTGGAGGAGTATGATTGGAATTTTCATCACGATGATTTCTACGACACTGACGAAGTGCTGGACGATGACATGTCCAAACAGCTCATTTTTCCGTACAGCAAGTTTGAACCAGAGGTTGCTGAAGATGAGCTGAGACGTTTGGATGCAATTGCAGACAGTGTCGAAATCAAGCGGCTGACAGGTATGCAAGTGCTCACCAATGCTGCAGACATGCCACATGATGCGAAAGTTTTGTCAACGCGTTTTGTGAGGACGTGGCGTGAAAAGCTTGACAAAAATGGACAACAGATATGGCTCAGAAGGTCACGCTTTGTGGCGCGTGAATTTGCATGGATGGAAAGTGAAAGAGATTGCCTCTTTTCCCCAGCAAGCAGCTCAATAGTTGCCAGGTTGCTTCCAGTGATGTTTTTGGAAATGCAGCAGCACTGTGACGCCGTGATGCTTGGAGTAGATGTCAAAGATGCTTTTCTTACGGTGAAGCAACAATGTCCTACAGTGGTTCAGTGCCAGATGGCCAATGGTGAACAGGCCGACTATGGACTGGGAAAGGTTTTACCAGGACAACGTGATGGAAGCCGTTTGTGGCACCAGGACATCACCAAAGTTATGAAAGAAGAGCTTGGCATGTCAGTGCATGAGCCATACCCCTGCATCCTTAAGTCACAGGATGGATGCTGCTTTGCGTTGATTCATGTGGATGATATATTGGTGGTGGGCAAACGTGACTTTGTGATGAACAAGTTCCTGAGCTGCCTTCAAAGCAAATATGAAGTCTCAACGCAGTTGATGGAGAAGCCTGGAGATGAGGTGAGTTTTCTCAAAAGAAAGATGGTGCTGCAACATGACTCAAGGATCACGATCCAAGCGCACCACAAGCACGTTGACCAGATGTGCAGTCTTTTGGGTTTGAACAAGCGCTTACAAAACAAGCGCACTCCAGGTCATGCAGAGATGGACCAACTGGACACATCAGGCGAAGTCAGTCCAGACCAAGCTCGAGTTTTCCGTACGTGCGTTGGGATCCTTTTGTATTTAGCCTCAGACTTGCCCCACTGCCAACATGTTGTACGTCATCTCTCAACGTACAGCACTCAACCTACAACCTGCAGTATGACCATCTTGCGTCACCTGGTATCATACCTTGCTTGCCATGAGGATGTTTGTGTTTCCTTGCGTTGGCGCGGCAGAAGCAGTGGTTTGTTCCATCAATATGGTTCCTGTGCAGAGTATGCCATGGAAATTTTCACTGACAGTGATTGGGCAAGCAACAAAGAAACCAGGCGTTCGATCTCATGTTCAACAATCTTCTTGGGAAACTGTTTACTGTATTCATCAAGCCGTACACAAAAGCTGGTTTCTCTTAGCAGTGCAGAGGCTGAAGTTTATGCATGCAGTTCAGGTGCTTCAGATGGATTGCTTCTGGCAGGTATCATCTCTTGGATGACAAACAGCAAAGTCAAGATCTACCTGCTGACCGACAGTTCTGGAGCCCGTGGCATATTGCAAAGACAAGGGGTAGGACGTGTTCGACATTTGTCCTGCAGAGTCCTATGGTTGCAGGAGTACATCAACTCAGGTCAAATCAAGTTATCGACAGTTGCAGGCTCTTGCAACCCAGCTGACATCGGGACAAAGCGTCTCCCTTGTGGCAGACTTCGAAGCCTCATGTGTTTGCTTGGTATGTATAACCTTACAACAGCCGAGGTTGAAGGTGCCAGCGATCCCGGCGGCATCATGACGAAGAAGGCCAACATGTTGGCCATGCTGAGCGCCTTGAGCTTGTTTCAAAAGGGTTGTGATGGAGAAGTGGATCCAGATGCTCAACCCTCTTGGGCTATGGTGTTTTTCACAACCATTTGTGGCTTGGCAGTTCTGTTGGTTTGGTGGTTTTGCAGTGGCAGCCGCCACAACAATGGCAATCAGCCTGAACCAGATGCCGAGCCAGATGCAACGAGGACACAAGGCCCACAAGTTCATGATGAAGACGTTGAAATGAGTGTTGCCGCTGAAGCTGAACCTTTAGAAAGACAAAGGCGAGAACCAAACGCAGAAGACTATGTGTCATGGTTGATTGAACGTTGTGAAAGAAGAAGACTGTCAGCAGACAGTGGTGAACGCAGAATTCTCTACAACGAAAGAATCACCATTCTCCATGGACTTCAAGGTGCAATGAGATCTGAAGATGCAAGGTGGAGAAAAGCTGCACTTCAAAGCCTAGCAACCCTGCCAGACATCAGTGATGATGAAAATTCACCAAACTTTGCTAGCATCAACGCTCCAGTGGTCAACTTTGGCGATGCCCAGCGTGCAATGAGTTTCATTGCGTCTCTCCAAACTGGACAGCCTAGCAGCAGTGCAAGTGGATTCAGTACCAATGTGGACATGGTGGCACACTCCTTGGTCCACAATCTGGACTACGATGCTGCTGGCGCAAATACAGAGTCTAGCTCCTTTGATGAAACAGCCTCACAGATACGTTTCAGGTATCGCCGAAGCACACAGTCTGAAGTGAGCGATCCAGACCTATGGATTTTGATGCAGCACGAAGAAAGCAATGAATCAGAGAGCCCAGAGTATGATGAAGAAACATAGCAATTTCCAAAAGTTCCAGCAATAGCAAAGTTCAGTAGCAGCGACCAGTGCTGTTGCTGAGCCAGTGGCTTGCGCCTGAGCCGGAGGGTAATTTGAGTCTCCGTTGGCGCTGGATTTACCTTGAGGAAATTAGAGTGTTTCTCTGTTTGTGCTGAGCTGAAACTCCAAAGGAGTTGGCAAGTAGTGGCACATCAAAGCATGCCCCAACGGCACCCAGCTCAGTGCAAAACTTTTCCAATTTAGTTTTCTTTTGCAATCGGCACTTCAACTGAAGTTTGTGCCGAGGCGGGGTGAAACATATTTACCCTGTTTGTATTCCAGCTCCAATAGCGTATATTCAGTTGTCAGAAACATGTCAACTCAGTGTGCAACATGCACATGTGAATCAGTGTTATGTTGAGGCGCTTTTGACTCAAGGAAAAGTTTCAGGTTTCCTATTGTTGAAACTTCGGCTCCTGCCTTGTGCGGCACTACTGGCACCAACGTGCAAAAAAATGTACGTTTTTGGGACGGCAAAAAGTCCGACAGCTGACGCATGTCGTGCGATTTGGTTGAAAGTTTGTGGTGGCAACGAATTTGACCACCATCAACGTCTGGGCCAATTTGCAAATGTCAAAACGTATCAATTATTTCTGTCCACTCAACAAATTTGCAATGAAAATTATTTGCAATGTAGCAGGTGCTTTGATAAAAACTGAAATTGAATGATGGATGTGCTGCAATCTGAATCAAATTGATCAATGTTTCGCACAGCTTGGCTCAGAAAATGTTTGCCGTTAATGTCAAATTGACACAGAAGGATCGGGTTTTGCAAGTTGCCACGCGCATTGCCACCATCCATGATGAACCAATTTTAAGTATCACGAAAACCCTGGCATACCAACAAAATTGCCGCATTTCATTGTGACCAATTTGAATTTTCGCCGCCAGGATGATTGCAGATGAATCCGTTGCGGAGTTTATATCGCTAGCCGGTGCAAGCGATGAAGAGGTGAACCACTTACCAGTAACATGGTCATTAAATGAATCAATTTCTGGCCTGAAACAAACGATTGTTCATTCTCCCAGTGCAGTACATCACAAATCCATACGTTGTGGTCAGGCGAGAGGCTATCTGGAGATGGCAGGAGGGAACTTGCAACAGGCAAACATTTTTGCGGATTGCTGGATGGGCCTGTAAAGTGGTGATATGTTTTTCCTCTGTAACCTCATTTCAGTAAATATTTGTCACCCTTGCACAGGCCTTAGGTTTGTTCTTTGAGATGGGGGGTGCCACGTCCTCGCCTTCGCCGGTGTCACCCTCAGAAGGAAATTTTGAACACTGGGAATAGCATGAACAGCACTCCAACAGCAAACCCGTACAAGACGCAGAGCAGTGGAGGTCAGTAGAATGATGTCAAGTACAGAGTGCGTTACTTTTGCTCTAAGAACCAAATTGTTGGTTTGATATTGACCGTTGTCAGGCTCTCCGACCTGCGCGGCCTCCCTCTCCAGCAACTCGACATTCATAAAAGATGCACTGCAACTTGCAGGTTGAAGATATTGAAGGATTTGTTTTGATTTTTTTTGCACTCCAATGCACCTATCAACATGGAGTTCCATGAAGTTCCATCAATGTAAAAGAACATGCACAAAAGCATACAAAACAAATTGCAGGATGTTGTAAGTATCGAAATTGACATCCCATCAGTTAATCTTCGTGTTGAAACTATTACTAAATGAAAATATTGATCTTGCATCGCTTTGTGCAGGGAACTGTGCTCCTAGGTAGGCCCATGGCGAACCCCAACAGGGTAAGGGTAGAGTTCCAATGTCACTGGTCTATCAGACTACGCCACTTGGTATGTCCTGTATCGAATTTGATAAATCCAGCGAAGTGCATTCGTCCCGCGTCCGCACATCTAACAAATTTCGCTCAGCTTGGAATGAGTGACACAGAAAAAGTGGCAGGAATGTCGCTGCGCAGGGCCGAGTGAAGTCCAACGAAATCTGAGAGTTTGAGCCCCGTCACTTTTCTTGTTCCATCCCTAAATCCAAGTCATTCCAATTCCAAACTTTTGTACCCGTTTGTACTTGTCCCCACCGAAGTATTACCCCTAAACCCAGACACTAAACTGCTCAGGGTGTTCTTATATCCTTGTCCTCAGTCCCCACTCCCTTCTTCACCATGGATGTCACTGGCAGATCATAGACCACCTCCAGCCCACATTCCTGCTCTTCTTGGCACTTGCTACAGTTGCATCTATGCTACTGCAAAGGCAATGGCACCATGCCATTCGGACAAATCACAGATTGCTTGTACTCAGTGTTGCATACGTTGCATACAACAATTTTGGTTTTGCCCCTTCAGTCAATATAGTCAGCAAGATTGGGAACCAACTTCCCACTTTGGAGGTTTGGAAGGTTCTCTTGGAAGTCGGATTTGTGTGTGAGATATTTCGAGTATTTCGAGGTTGAATACAACGAAGATGTCGCAGCTGAAGTTCGAGCAGCTGCTGTAGCAGCTGGAATTGATGCAGGTGCTAAGATCATCGCGGGGTTTTCTCACATTTTTTTGCCGGGGTTCCCTTGGGGTTCCCTTCTGATTTGTGCCATTGTTCTGTTCTGAAGGCCCTCTGGGGATGCAAGATGAAGCAATGGCCCCTATCTAAGTGCCAAAGTTGCAACATCCAATGGCCTGCTTTGTGCTCGCATTGAGGGTTGTTTTGAATTTGTAGGAGGAGGTGAGAGCGCCAATGCCATCTTATCAGGACCCAATGCAGTAACAGCTCCATTTTTACACCAGTCCATTCCTTTTCAAGTTCAACTTGGCTTATTGGGCTTATTGGCTAGAAAATGAGATGACATGAGTATAAACGACATTTTCAAACCTCCAGGACCAGATCATCGATCCTGAGCACGAGCAGCGGCGTATGGAGGTGGTTGTTTTTGCTCACGACGCCCCTACCGGCCCTGGGGAATACGACACTTTTTGCTGTGCCTGTCAGGCTTGTTCACGTCACTTCAAGTTTTTTTGGTGTCGCTTTGCCCGTTAGTTAGAAGTATTGCACGTCAGTTAGAAGTATTGCCCGTTAGTTAGAAGTATTGCCCGTTAGTTAGAAGTATTGCCCGTTAGTTAGAATTATTGCACGTCAGTTAGAACTATTGCCCGTTAGTTAGAAGTATTGCCCGTTAGTTAGAAGTATTACCCGTTAGTTAGAATTATTGCACGTCAGTTAGACTTATTGTCCGTTAGTTAGAAGTATTGCCCGTTAGTTAGAAGTATTGCCCGTTAGTTAGAAGTATTGCCCGTTAGTTAGAAGTATTGCCCATTACTTAGAAGTATTGCACGCTAGTTAGAACTTGTGCTCGAAGGATAGTGTGATTTTTTTGGGGATCCAATACACTTGGAAAGCACCAGCTCAAAGACTTAGGAAAGTTAGCGCACAAGACTTGGACTGCCTGAGCTGTTCTCCATGTCGCATGTCGTATGTCTACACGCTTGTTACGAAACATTCCAGTTTTTTTTGCGTTTAGGAATTCAAATTCATGATTAAACGCATTGGAAATACGACTAAACACACACACACACAAAACACTGTAAAACACAGACGAAAATTAGCTACTCAACAAATGGGCAGACCAAGAAAACGCTGTGAGGGTCATGCGACACACAAAAATCGGCGAATGAAGAAGTGAAAAAACAGCAGGGCCGTTACAGGCGGCGTGACCTTGTTTTTTTCAATGATTGTGTGTATGTGTTTGCATAGAGTCTGTAGCCTCTCAGGAAGCACTTCAGAGCCATCTCATACTGCCAATATCCATAGATTTAAGCTGGGTCGATGAGTTGTGGATTACGCAGTTTTGCGTTTTTCTATTCGGAAATCATTTTAATGGGTACCGGACGAGAGGAAGGTACAACAGAGATATCCAGCAAGCAAGCAAAGTACCCAAACTACCAATTCAAAACGTTTCAATACCAAATTGTGAGGGTGAATACTGTACCAATTTCAAAACCTTCAAAAGGTCATTTGAGGGCCTCGGTAACTATTTTTCATACAATAGCTGCCACGTGCAAGTACAAAATCACCTGTTTTTGCAGGCTGACCTTTATTTCTTTTTTTCGGTCCATACCGCTCATCCATGATACTTAATTCAGAACATCCTACTAAACTATCTTTTTTGGGGGCAAATCCGACATGTTTTGGACCACCAGCAGGTTTTAGTTTGTTTCAACCGTTCGTTAATTTTTTAATCCCAGGTTTTGATTCTGATAGGCGGTTTTGACCTCGGTTTTGACCTCGTGACCTTTTTGACACTTTTGAATTCTTGAAATTTGTTGGTTGGAGGAGGCTATGGCGGCGGATTCAGCTGCAATGTATCGGCGTATGTCGTTCGACCGTGGTAACGATCCAGCTGGCGTTCACTTCTCAGACTTGAGTGAGCTTCAGTTCCAGCAACTACAAGAACCTCTTTGTTTACAGCGATGCAGCACAGCAGTTTCCTTGTTTTGTTCATGGTTCTATGCTTAAAACTTTGCAAATTTGTGCCTAAGGCAGGTGCAGGTGAGCAGCAGGATGAGCAAATGGGAGAGGGCAACACCGGTAAGGCACAGTTTGAGTAGAAGAAAAAATTGCACAGAATCAAAAGCTTGCGGCAGCAATTGGGCTCTGCATTGGAGGCAATCAATAGACTATTTGCAGCACCTGAATACAACGAGGTGCAGTGGAATTCTCAACTTTCAGTCTTCTGAACTTCCCACTTTGGGGACAAACTCATGACTGGATCAGGGCGCCTCTTACTACCAGACGATCGAGAAGGCAAGTTGCGATGAATGTTTTCTTGATACACGATTCAAGGATAGACGCCTGGGGGTACGGGCAAACGAGCGTGAAGTTCCAGATTGCTTTCGTTTAATGCCCTTAGGCGAAAACCGAAGGCAAGTGGGTGCTTGTCTCGACCCGAGCATTTGGGATGCATTCCATTGGACGAGTTGCTACTATTTGCATCTCTATTTGCTACTTAGTAGCTGCTACTTGTTCCATCTTGTTCCCACGGTTCTGAATTTGGAGCGGCTGAGGTCAACATCCAGCAAGCCGAAGTTTTTGCTTCACACACCCTAAATAGGGATGTGGAGTGCTCAGGATGCCTTCGCGCTGCAATCTGCCTCAAGGCAGTTTGCGACACTATGACACCATATAATGAAGCTAAACTAGCTGTTTGGTTCTCCTCCGTTTTCCGAGCTAACTCTTTGGAGTGAGAGTTTGTACTGAAGGCGACTTTTGGCTTAACGTATACATAGTTCGATGGACATACGAATACATAGACAGTCATAGATGACCAGGTGGCCAGATGGAATCATGTAAATCTAAGCAAATGCGATTACACTAGGCTAAATCAGATTAGATAGATAGTTGGTCACTTACTTGTTCACTTGGGTAGACTGGTAGACTGGATGGAGTAGATCATTGATAGATTGCATGACTAGATTATATAGACTGGTCAGACTTATTAGATGAATAGTGTAGAAAGATCACGATTAGTTGGATTCAATTATATGATAAAAACTGGTCAAGTCAATAGATCAGATCATACTGGGTTTGATTGGAAGATATTATATTATTATTATTATTGTTATTATTATTATTATATTATTATTATATTTCAGTTTAGTTCAAAAGAGTTTGATAAGACCAGGTTAGATTAGATTTGATTGGATGATTTAGAATGGACAGCTAGGCAGAAAGACAACACCAACAGATAGATGGATGAATGGATAAACAGCTAGATAGATCGATCGATGGATGGATGGATAGATAGACAAATAGATCCACGAACTGATACAGAAGGACAGACGAACGGATGGATGCTTTTGTGGGTGTGCAACATAAGCTGCAAAATCTGGGACTTGGACGACACATGTTGTTTTTGTGGTGACTTTGGCTCCTGTGTTGTAGTCGTAGTTTCCTGCTATTGCGTTCTGAATCTTGTGGTGGCTTTGCTTTATGCCTGTGGTCCCGCGCATCCGTAACTTGGAGACAGTTAGCTGAAAGAAGATTTGGCTCCAAGACATAACTCAAACAACAAATGGCTCAAAAGAGGAGCTGGCTGCACGAGAAGAGATAGGAGATCAAGTGGCAGGGAGCACTCCACGACTGTGTGATTGTGTTGTGGAAGCAGCAACCAAACTCCTATATATATAATTAGGCAAAAAGGTTTGAGTTCATTCCTGCAAGAAAGGCCCCATGGGCCAACACTGCATCTGCAGCCCCTTTAAAAAGGCATAGTAGAATTTTGAACTCCAAAACCAGATCTTTAGCATCCGCACGATCCACACCAAGCGTCATTCCCGCTAGGTCTCGCAAGACCTAGGCAAGGTGTAGGCTGCGCGCTGGCTGCGTTAATCGCATAATTTGGGTGTGAAACTGATGTTCCAGCGAGCAATTTGATGATAGAGGGATTGGATCCCCTGCGTGAGGGGGGAAGGCTGGCGTAGGGCCAGCGAAACAGGTGTTTGGACCCCCCCCAGTGCAAAAAAGGGTCTTCCAAAGGAAGTCCTCAGGAACTGGGTTTCTGTAGACACAAAAAAAAAGCGTCCAGCTCACCATTATTGGAACTGCTGACAGGTGCTATGCTTTGTCTTGAGAAAAGAGGACCCACGACACTTGTTTTTGGTCCAAACTCAAAATTTGTACCACTATTTCGGTGCGGCGGCCTCTCCTTCAAAGTAAACAAATGAATCGTTATACAAGGATTTGTTGCCAACAAGAGCAGATTGGCTTCAGAATGTGGTTTTTTCATTTCCAAACCAGCGGGCAAAAAGAAAAGAGGGACTGAATGATCAAACTGTTTTTTCGTCCTGGGGTTTGTGTTCTGGTGTTCATGGCTCATGGTCTAGCTGTGCCTTGCAATCGCAGGGTAAAGAGAAAGAGAACAAATATTTTTCTGAATTTCTGGAAGGGATTTTTGTTTCGGAAAGGTGCAAAATAAAGGAAAATCGCGTGCAAAATGACGTCGACCAAGACAAAACAAGAGTAAAACAATAACAAAAGTTGTATTTCGCACCGCATAGCAGCGTAAGTGTGAAAATGTTTACATGACAAGTCAGTTTAGCGTTGAGAAAACTTGGAACAGTTTCTGCAATCCCATTGATGCAATCCAAGACCCATCCGTTCCACGATTTCAAAATAGGTGTTGTGGAAAAGTGTGCTTCTTTTCCAAAAACAGCGAATTCGTCTTTTGATGAAACCAATACAAAGGTAATATGTGCAAGTGTATTTGTTTGTTTCCATAAAACATGAAATAACAGGGTTCGACGGATTGTTTGTGACAAAGATTCGCGTTGAAGCCATCCAATGACCCATATCCCGCCATGGTTGATTTACGTCCCTTGCCAGTCGTGCTTTCAAAAAGACTTGTTTTGCTCTGCCAAATTCCAAACCTGAACGTCAGCCTGTCGCTGAAAACATTTTTTATTGCATCAACCTTTTTTCCATGATGCGGAACAGAACTTCCACTCTAGTTCCCGATGCTGCATCGAATTCAATTCAAAATTTTGTGCATTTTATAGCCATATCGAAGGGGATCCTTATGGATCTAAGTTGCCTCTGTATGTCAAAAAAAATCTGGGTTTTCTGTAAGAACAACATGTCACGCAGCGCGCTCTCCACCTTGAACTACGCGAAGCAAACGGACCACATCAATGCCAAAACCTTGCAACGGTTGGCACGTATGCAATGTATGGACAATCCGAATGAAAATGTTTTCACTGGCATATCTGGCATGCGGTGTGCCAACAGCTGAACAACTTGACTTGTAAGGTTTGGAGCGATGACACGGTGAAAGATGTTATCCAGGGATCATTCTTGTTTTGGTGCTGGCCTTGAAAACCGTCACAGAATCTCGTGATCACCTTGGCATAGCCTGGAATCATCGTGGCATTGTTTTTTAAACAAATTTGGAGCGGCAAGGGTGAAACTGAGGCAACGGGATGACAAGTCTGCGGAAGGTGACCAGTTTTGCCACTACCATCAGTGCGGGTACAGAGCTCAACATGGATTGCTGTCAAGATGCCAAGAGTGAATGAAGCATCGGCAAACCCTCCTCTACATCCCATGTCGCTAAACAGCCTTCCTGCAACCCTGCTCTAGCAACTAGTAGTCGATTTACTGATTTTTCCATTTTGGGTTTCCATGTAGGGGGGTTATCTTTTTTGGAACGAGAGTCCAGTACAAAAGTTACATGAAACATGATGCCGGATACATTTTGTTTGGCAGAGTGCAGGAGAGTTTTACAAATCAAACTACCCCGGAACATCCAGGAATGAAAAGGATGGGGCCACTGAGGGTGCAGTTTGGTTGTGCAGCTTTTGATGGGCGTTTCACTGCTGAGATGGCTAATTTGTCGCATCAAATACTGTGAATCGACACTTGGTGCAGAATTCGCTTCAAAGGCATCAGCTCCCGCACATTTGTATCATTGATCCACGCACTGGGCGACGAGTCAAGGCTGAACTTGTGTGAAAGCAATGCAGTGTTGAGCTTGAGTCAACTGTAGTCGTCACATGGGGATGGATAGCTATGAGACCGTGTTCCGTGTTTGATGAGCTTCTATTGACCAGCTGTTTTGTGCTGTCTTGAAATTCACGAGTGTATCAGGCTTCTGACCCAAGCGCACATCATATGAAGAGCACCTTGCCCATTGAGTGTTCTTATTGTTCCCATAGCCTATTATTTGAAATTCAGATCGGTATATGGTATGTATATAATATATAGATTCCCCAGGCACGGGCACAAGCTTAGCTAGCCGCCATTTTCGCTCACCGTTTGCTGGCCCCGGTTTATCAGGATATATCCAATAAGGATTCATCCTCTTCCTTTGGCATGCTTGCCATGGTCGTTTCGATCTCCAGTACAAGTACATGTCTCCTTTCAGCTACATTTCTCTGGGGACTATGTCCAGAAGTTTTATAAGGATATACATCCATTGAAACTCTACACTTACACTGGTCCACGACCTTGCGGCGAGCTTTGGCAGCCTTGTATTTTTCTCCGGGTTTCTCTCCCGGCAAAGTTCTACTACTTCGACATCGTCTCCATTTACAAGTTTTTGCATCTTTCACTATCAGTATCAACTTCAGTTTCGAGAGTATGGGGCTATGGGGGAAGTCTTGCACATCGTCTCCAACTTCGTTTTCTCCTATCGCCTGGAACATACATTTCTCGTTTTGCTGAACATAAGGGGCCAGGACCTTTTTCCCACTGACATGGCTACAATTCGACTCCGGCAAAGTTCTATCGAAGTCGTCTCCATTCACAATGCTCATGATATTTCATTGTCAAGTCCACTTTCGAGAGTATGGGGGAAGTCTTGCACATTTGCTTTCTCCTAAATGCAGCTGGAATGTACATTTTCTGTTGCTGGACTTAGGTGCCTGTACATTTCTTAAGCGATAACTCCCTTTCCTGGCAGCTAACGCTATCAGGGGCTGCCAGAGGCGTGCCGGGAGACTACGGTCACTCCCGCAAGTTACTTATCTCCTTTCTCTGGCACAGTGCTCCAAAGCGAGAGACACGTTGTCACGCACCCTGCTGTGCGTCACGGGGCCTGACTCCTTTTTAGTGGTTTACTCCTTTGGTTTGTCATTTTTTTTCGCGGTGGGTTGGTTCCACCTAGCCAACTCCATCGGGCCCCGTGTACTAGGTGTAAATTAGCAGCATTTATCGGAACCCGCGCTTTCTCCGTTTCGACGCAACTGACTTTAATGAAGTTAAGGTATTGGACCTTTTTCTTCTGCAACTCCATTTTGGCCCCAACTGATTTTCTTATTTGCAAGTCTCAGACCAGGACTTTGCGTCTAATTTTTTGATGTTCCATCCTACAATGTTCAGGTGCTCCTTCTGGCTACAGATCCCCTCCTAGATAGGTGACACCAAGTCACCCCCTCAGAGTCAAAGGCTCAAGAGACTTCAAGTCCCCTGCCCAAGAGGCACTGCAGGATTCTCCAAACTGAAACTGTCCTTTCTCCTGTGTCTTTTTTCAGGTCTTGCCTTCAATTCACTTTCTTATTTGCAACTTGTTTTTCCATGGGGCTGACGGAATGCTGCTGCACACGTGTAGTTCAACATGAACTGCATAGCGTTTGTAAAAAAAAATAGAGGTTCCCCTTCTACTAACTCCAAAATCGCCGACAATGGCCGTTATACCTGTGCTCCCCAAACATATGTTTGTATTTTCGGGGTTTGTTTCATCTTTAGAGTTCTTTGTTTCTTCAAAAAACGTGCGTTGGAGGGACGGTTTTGCTTCGTGTCCGGCTTATCTCCTAATCATGATCCAATCTTGTGCTGGTGTTTGCAATCGAGTACTTTGCGATGCAACTCTTGCACTTTGCCCTAATATTGTCTATATAAGTCGTGTTTCCGTTTGCCTTCTGCCTCCTGCTCATCTCTAGCTTGCCCGCCCCCTTTTTTGCAAGCAGGACATTTCTAGAACAGAAAGTGAAACTTTCTCGCCTCTGAACCTCCCTCCCCCAAATCGATTGATTTGGATTGCGATCCTGTTCTGATTATGCAGGTGTCAGCTGATATGATATTATGTTTGCTCTGCCTACTGGCGTTGATGTTTTGTGTCATCCTTGTCAACGGGGATTTTCATGACACCAAAGTCACCAGTTTTTCTTCTGTTCTGTCTCAAGATGATCGTGCTTTCCTGTAGTTGTGGAACAATTTGCTTGAAACGCTGAAATTCAGCACTTCCTTCATTTGATGCTGCTTGACAGAACTGGGATGGCCGCAAATGGGTTGAGTCCCATGCTGCGGCCGAGTGCGCTTTGCAGACACTTCCCTCTTTGCCAAACCACTGGAACCACCTTCAATAAAAACACGAAATTGTAACTGTTCCGATTGTATGCACTCGAAGGGATCAGGACACCAAACTACTTAGAACTACTTTAAGTTGATAGATGCCAAGTAGGGCGTCATTGAATTGAAGTCCATTTCAGGTACCTTCTCGGATTTCTTGATCAATTTTCAATGTCAAGGTGCCTTGGAAGCATGAGACAGCAAATGGAGGTTTCCTGAAATAGGGGTACCCCTAAATCATCCATTTTAATAGGATTTTCCACTATAAACCATCTATTTTTTGGGGTACCTCCGTTTCAGGAAACCCACAATTAAATTTCAGATAAAAACCCGATTTTGATTTTCTTTGTTCATTTTCAGCCCTTAAATTTTGTTGGTTTCAATCAGCATTTTGATTTCGGAATCAAATTTCAAGGTCTCCACCTCCTCAATCTCCAGTTGGGAGTCCTACTTCCAAACCTCAGGCCAAGAACCCCCAAGCTGTGAAGACTGTGAAACCTGGGGCACATCCGGGCACATCATAATGTCATAGGGCTCACGGAGAGGTAAGTCAAGATCCACTGTTTGACAAACCTCGACTGACAATTGACAATATTTGGGAAACAATCGCTCTTGGCTCTTGGTGCAGTTTTCATTGCGATCTTTCCACTGAATGAGCAGTCGAGGGTGCTGCAGCGCTTTAGGGTGCTGCAGCGCTTTGGGGCGCTTTCATGTTCTCCTGTTTGGTTCGGTGGAGGCAATACCAGATCCATCCTCCATTGAACTTCAAGGTTTGGATGAACCAATGGAGGTGCAGTACGATACTATCTCACCGGTGGGATGTTCCTTTGACTTCTCAGCATAATCCAGCCTGTTCACAGTTTTCCTTGCACTGCTTACAGTTTGAACTTTGAAAGATGCTTTTGCACCTTTGCAGCATTTGATGCATCCAGGATCAAGCACAGGATCAAGCACAGCCTTGGAACAGGTTTAAGAGGCTCTTCAACCTAGAACGTGATTAAGGGACGTTTTTAGGAACAAACAATGTTTGCTTTTCTCCGCGACTAACTGCAAGCAAAATACGCACCATATGCTAGGTTTGGCTGCCTGTATGACTTGTGGTAAAACATGTCACCACAGTGCATGCATGTGTACTCCGCAGCCCTGTTCGAAGTGGCACAAAACAGTGAGTCCGCTTTTCGCATGGTAGCGGAGCTGGTTCCTGACCGATCAGGGCCGGCATCCGCAGACGGTTTACACCGCCCGTAAGAGGCGGGTAACACCGCAAACAGCTGTGCTTGTAGCAGCGTTTGCGCCTCGCCGAGTTCGAGGAGAAGAAGACTGGTAGCTGCGTGTGGAGCAGCACCTGGACCTCTCCGACGAGAGGACAAATCCCCGGCAAGACGGGGAAGGGAAAAGCAAAGGGCCAAGGAAAAGCCCAAGAGAGAACCAGGTCCGCCCGAGCCATAGAGCGGCGGATACTACGTGGGGCAGCAAGACGCGCAGAAGGCTTGCTGAACACCACTGTGGAAGCAGCCAGCGGTACGACCAACAGGCCGGACCACAACGAGCTGGACTACGTGGAAGGCTTGAGACTTCAGGCCGTTCCAGAACAAGAAGTACCAGAGTTTCTGGACGTGAACAGGACTGTGGTTGGTGGTCTGCCAACACACAGCAAAGCAGGAGGAGCGACCAAGCGCGTGTGGGGGAAGTTCGAGAAGGACTACCTGAGCCTCGCCAAGGTCGTACAGTCTACACCGGGTGGAAAGGCGAGAAAGTCCTTTGCCCAGGAAGAAGGAGGTCGACGAGTAGCACAAGGACTCGTTGCACCTAGGGCACAAGTCGTGCCAACCACACTGCCACCGCCTGAGCAGCGTGGAGAAGAAGAAGTAGGAGAAGAAGAAGAAACGCACGCGGCGACTAGCGTGTGGTACTCTGTGGACGAGTTCGGGAACTTCAAGGAGGAGGTCGACGACTCGCCAGAAGAAGAGGAAAGGCCGAAGACCGAGCAAGCGTCTTCAGCGGCAAGTAGCAGCTCAGTGGGTGTCTCCGAAGTCGCCCGAGCTGTTCAGGACCTAGAGCTGAGGAGCCAGAAAGCCTCAGAGGAAAGGTCGCGCGAAAGAAACCAAGAAGGTCGAGAAGAAGGACGGGACTACCAGCGTGAGGAGTTGGAGGACCGTGAAGAGCGGGACTACCAGCGTGAGGAGTTGGAGGACCGTGGAAGCAACTGGAGCGAGACAGCTTCCAGTAGCTCTACAAGCTGGTCGAGGAGTACCTGGAGTAGCAACTGGGGAAGCGACCAGTCGAGGGCTTGGGCCGGGCGCAGGTGGTCAGAAGGGTATCACCTAGGCTGGCACAGAGGTTGGCATCGAGGCGGGTAATACCGCTGGAACGGTAGGTTCCAGTAGGTACCCCTTGCCTGCCCAATAGGGGCATCTGTACACTAGAAGTGTAAATAGCCTCGTGTACCATAGCCTGTAAAGATGGCAACGGTAGAACAGTTGCAAGCACAGCTCGCGCAAATGCAAGCGCAGCAAAACCAATTGGTGGAAGGTTTGCAACGTGCGAACCAAAGTTTTGAAAGTCAAGCAAGACGGTTGAACGAAACTGAAACGAGACTGCAAGAACAGACGGACAAATTGACCCGGACTGAAACGGAGCTAGCGCAAAGGACACAGGCGCTGGCACAGCAAACAACACAACTTGCCCAGGCTCAGCAAGCACAGGCAAGCAGCACACAACCAGCTGGGGTAGAAATGACAAAATTGATTCACCCTAGCAACGTCCCAAAGCCGCAAGTTTGGGATGGTAAAAGAGAAGGATGGGAAAAGTTTAAACATGTGTTCGTAGCATGGAGTTCCACTGTTCACCCCAAATACCCTGAAATGTTGGAAAAGTTTGGGGAAAGCAAGGATCCCTTGGATGATGCTATGCAAACCCCTGAAGAGGATTTGTTGGCCAAGGCGATGTATACGTTTCTCGTACAGTACTGTCCGGAGCCTACGATGAATGTAGTGGGTCAGGGACTGCACACAGCAAATGGATTTGAGGTTTGGCGCAGACTGTCTGAGCCATCGTACAGAACCAAAGCATGGGTTTGGAGAAGACATTTGAGTAACCCCAATTTCCCAAAAGACATAAACAATTGGAGTACTGCACTCCATCAGTGGGAATCAGAACTAAGGGAGTTTGAACGAACCTCCAAGAGTGTTTTCTCAGAAGAGGAAAAGGTCTCGATCTTAGCGCATGTAGCACCTCCAGAGCTTCAGCAAAGCATCTTTATGCACAGCGACACGTTGGGCACTTACGCGAAGATTCGAGACTACATCGAGCAGTACCTCATCAACAAGAACGTTTGGAAGAGACCGCAAGGATCCCAGTTTGGAATCACTAAGGCGGCAAACAAGGTTGATGACGGAGGACCGGCACCCATGGACATCGGTGCGGTCAAAGGTAAAGGAAAAGATGACAAAGGAAAAGGAAAGAGCAAACACAAAGGTTCTTGGAACAACGACAAAGGTAGCAAAGGTGGAGCAAAAGGCAAAGGTAAAGAAGACAAAGGAAAAGGAAAAGGACACGAAAACAAAGGTACAGGTAAAGGAAAAGGTGATGGAAAACAAGGTGGCAAAGGAAGTCAGGTGAATAATCCTGATGCCGGAAAGAAATGTCACGTATGCCAGAAGTACGGACATGTCGCAAAGAACTGTTGGTGGAAGGTATCATCTGTGGATGAAACCACAACCACCACGGGGAATACCGCCAACAAGACCGAAGGCAACAACAACCAAACGAAACAGAACCCAAACAGTGGAAACGGAGTTGGATCGGTTTCAAACATCAATTTTGGTGAACATGACCGATACTGTTTCACTGTCAGGGATGCTCAGGTCAGTGCATTGTCTGAGAGCGATGAATTCAGATATCTTTTGGTTGACTCAGGAGCATGTGAAAACGTTGCCAAGTATGGGGATTTTGTTGGACCGGTTGATTCCACAAAAGGAAAACCTTTATTTGGTGTTCAAGGGAACCCACTCAAAATATATGGAAAGCAATCTCCCAAAATTGAAGTCGGGAACTTAAAAGGACTGATGGACATGACTGTGACTGACTCAGCGGAGAGTTTGCTGTCAGTTTTCAACATGGTAGAAAAAGGTCATGCCGTGCATTTTGAAAAGAACAACTGTCATTTGGTTACGAACCAGAATGAAAGGATTCCATTGGAATTGCATGGAAAGAGATGGTATTTGAAAGTGAAACATGATCAACAAAGTTCGTCAAGTTCAGGAAACGGAAATTTGAGAACACAAAGAATAGCACCAGTCAAAGGAGTCAGGTTTGAAGAAGAAAAGGAACCTGATACCTGGAGAATGGAGACCAATGAGGAAGGAGAATTCGTGGTTCGTGTGCACAACACAGCACGATTCCAACTATTCAGCCCAGAGCGAATGGCTGATCTTCCTGTTCCAATCAACCGACTATTACCTGGTCGACTTACCAAGATCTATTTCTCCGAAGATGGATCGCATGTGGAAGACCAGAGTTTGTGGACAAGAAAACAGACATCTGCCAAGAACATGGGCAGAGAATGGCTGGGAGAATCGTGGTTTAGATTGAAACCAGAGACTGAAATTCCTGAAAAGAAGGATGCAGAGATTGAAGAAGCAAAGAAAGTTGAAGGAGTACGTGACCCAGACCAAGGCATGGATGAATTCTTTTTGGATTGGGTGTACGTAGAAGATCGAGTACAACCAGATCCAATTGATCAAGACCAAGCCGAACGTGAAGTGTTTCGAGAGCAAAGACAGCTTCATGAAGAAGAAGAAGTGAAAGAACAAGCACAGGAGGTAGATGTACCAAAGGCACCGAGTGCACAACAGCGTGAGGAGCACAGGCTTCATCATGCAAATTTCGAACCTTGGTGTGAAACTTGCATCAAAGGACAAGGACGAGATGCACCTCACAGAAGAAGTAAGGAGGACAAGAAAGAACACATCATCTACTCCGACTACATGTTCTTCAGTGTGGATGGTGAGATGGTGAATAGAAGTGAAGGAAAGAAGCAGAAAGGACTGATCACAGTGCTGACGGCAATTTGCAAAGACAGTCAGTATCCCTTCGCCATGGTGGTCCCATCCAAAGGAGGAGGGTACTACTCAAGGGATGCGTTGGCAGCTTGGATCAGAGATCTGGGATGGAACAAAGTGACAATACAAATAGATCAAGAAAATTCCATGAACAAGTTGTTTGACAGAGTGAGGGATCTCATGCCAGAAAGAGTAGAGATTCGGAAATCACCACGGTATAGCTCACAGTCTCTTGCAGATGGAGAAATGGTGAATGGACTGATAGCTGGAAAGATTCGCACATGGCTGTGTGAGTTGTCTGAAAGCTATGCAACGAAAATTGGAACCGAGCACTACGTGTTCCCATGGATCGTGCGTCACAGCGCATGGACTTTAGCAAGGTTTCATGTCAACAAGAGCAAGACCACAGCGTTTCGTGTGATAAAGGGCAGAGACTACGTGGGTGAGTTGATACCATTTGGAGAGACAGTGATGGGAAAATTTCCAAAGGTAAAAGACAAATCTGCACCTCGATGGACAAAAGGAATCTATGCAGGAAAGAAAGAAAATTCAGATGAGCACATGATGTTGACAAGTGCCGGAGCTATTAGTTTCAGAACAGTCCGAAGATTGCCAGTTGGATCACAGTTCCAAGATGCTGTGATGGAAGTTGCGAGAGGAGTCCCATGGAATACAGTGTTGGGAATCGAGAAAACAAAGCCGGAAGCAATCTCATCGGAGGTGAAAGCTATTGTGGCACCAGAAATCGAAGGACAGGAAACCTATGATTTCGAGGACAAATCGAAACAAGAAAACGAGCCGATCTTTGATGACAAACCAGAAGCAATGGCGAAAGCAAAGGTGGTTCACATACCACAACCTATTGTACCACCATTGCGGAATGCACCAAGATCAGCTCCAAGTACACCGAAAGGAGGGAAAGCACAGAAGAGCACAAAGAAGGAAGACAAAGCACCAGAGATGCAGGTGGACGATGAAGGAGAGAGGATCGAGATTGAAGAAAAGGATTCCAAGAAGCCACGACTGGCAGAGGGTACAACCTCTAGTGCCGTACCGGGCGACACCGGAATGAATCCAGGACAACCTGAACTGTACCGCATAGACACACCAACAGATGACAACATGAGTGCAGCGGGCACAGCATCTCAGGACATGGTTTCTGGAGTCAGTAACGGTGAAGTTCCAGATGCGGAAGAAATGAGGAAGAAATACCATATGCCAGTGAACAAGGACCATGTATGGTTTCAGAAGTGGCTAGATGAGAGAAAGGAGTACTTCCAGAGTGAAATGGTGGCAAACATCATGGACTACCTGGACCAAATTGGAGCAGCAGAAGAAGAACAAAAGAAAGCTCGAAAGATGGAGATCAAGAAGTTGAACGAGGACTTTGGAGCATTTACACCGAGAGACGGAAGATTGATTCCAAAGGAAATAACAGTGTTTGGTCATAAATGGGTAGACAAAGTTAGTGAAGGAATTGCAAAGTCAAGGTTGACATGTCAGGACTTCAAACGAAAGGGACAGGACAATGACAGAAACACGTCGGAAGCACCAAGCAATTTTTGTCCAACACCACATGGATGTCCCAGAAAACTGTTGGAAGTCTACAGTATGGCAACAGGACTACCACGAGTGAAAGCAGATCTCACATCAGCGTTTCTGATTGCCAATGACCAAGGTGACAAGACAGGACAACCTGTGATGATGAAACCACCTAAGGAATGGCTGGAAGACTACGACGATTGGTATTTGTTGCAGCCCAAGGAAGTTCAAGAAGAACTCAAGGACGTTCCTAAGGAACATATCTTGTGGCAAGTGGATGGCAACTTGTACGGACGTCAGTCGGCAGCAGCACAGTACAGAGACAGATTAGAAGAAATAATCACCAAAGAGTTACCACCAGAACAATATGAGTTTCAGCGAGGAGCAATCGATGGATGTGTGTACAAATGTGAGAAAACAGGAACAGTGTTGATTCATCACATAGATGATTTCGACATTTGTGGACCCGAGAAAGTTTTGAATGATTTGCTGATGATTCAATTTCCAAAGAACGGTTGCAAGCTGAAAATGGGAGAGATGGAATACCCGTTTGTAGGAAGTAAAACAACTTCAGAGTTTCTTGGAAGGACCAAGATCAATGTCGAAGAAGCCGTGATCACGAAACCAAACGCGAAACATGTAGAGGTGATACTGAAACAACTGGGTTTGGAAAATGCCAAGCCTGGACCAGTGCCAGGAAAGAAACTTGACCTGACACAGGACAAATTGTTGAACGAGAAACAGAGCGATATATGCCAGTTGTGTGGGAAGCGCAATTTACTTATCTCAGGACAGACCAGACATAAAGTTCAGTACCAAGGAATTGGCAAAACGCATTCGGGAACCAAGGGAATGCGACATGGCCAACCTGAAGGTCCTGGGAAGGTATCTTCGAGGAACCACGAACTATGGGCATGTGACAAAGTTGACAGAGGGGATCGACATTCGAGAAGGAATCCCGATGCACTGCTACTGTGACAGTGACTGGGCAGGAGACCAAGAAAGCAGACGTTCCACAAGCGGTGAGGCGATTTTCGTAGGAGGAACACTCGTCGAATCGTCATCGCACACGCAACCAGGAACGCCAGCGACAAGCTCAGGGGAAGCTGAAATAAGGTCCCTGACGCGCTGTGCTCAGACTGCAGTATTTGTGCGAAACTTAGCTGAAAAGGATTTTGGAATGAAACTGGACACACCGAGGATTTGGTGTGACTCGTCAGCAGCCATACAAGCTGGAAAGAAAATAGGTGTAGGAAAGATGAGACACATAGCAGTAGGACACCTTTACATACAAGAGTTGGTGAAAACAAAACAAGTGATCATAGGTAAAATCGACGGAACAAAGAATCCCGCAGACATCCTCACAAAACACCTTGCGACAGGTGAACTGGTACGAAACGGATGCGAGTTGATAGGACTCGTGGACCTGACTGAGGATGGACTGGACAAACACGTGTCGAAAACAAACATGAGAACAATAGGTTCTGTGAATGAAAACGAAAACAAACGATGGAAACCGCAAACCGGCTCAAAGCTTAGCGTTCGACAACACGCTTCCGGGGTGAAACGAAATGGAAACCTTGGGGGACACACCTGTGTTGTGGGGCGGCAAAGCCATCATGCCGGGAAACACCGGGATTGAAACGTTAATGCTGTTGTTTCTCATCAGCTTGACTTTCAACCTAGTGAGTGTTTGCGTAGGAGGGACGGCACTTTGCTGTCTGTACAGAGACATAGTACTGTGGCCATGCAAAAGCAAGAAGAAGGCCAAGTACGAGGTGTACTACCTCACAAAGTATGGAGAAAGAGTGCACTCAACGGACCAATGTCCTATGTTGAGTAATAGCACAGATGTGAAGAAATTCAAACCGTGTACAAAGTGTTTCAATGTGGTCTTAGGACCGAAAGATGCGTAACCGAGCCCAATACGCAATGCAGAACGTACAGAATAATTCAAATGAAGTTGCACTGTAAGGCGCCATATTTTAAGGAGGGTGCAAGCAAAATACGCACCATATGCTAGGTTTGGCTGCCTGTATGACTTGTGGTAAAACATGTCACCACAGTGCATGCATGTGTACTCCGCAGCCCTGTTCGAAGTGGCACAAAACAGTGAGTCCGCTTTTCGCACTAACACAAAAGTACTGGAATCGGAAGGGTCACATACCTTGGAACTGCACCGCAGTGCATCTGCCATGGAACAGAATCAATTTGCTGCCTTGACCTCAAACCTCACGAATGAGGATGAGCTCGGTGGGTTGCTGAATCAGCACCTGAGCGAGCTGGACGAAAGTCTGGCGGCTCTGACAGAAGCCGGCCGATTGCGAGAAGAAAGATTTGAAGGAGAGCAAGCCGGGCAAGCCAGGCAAGCCAGGCAAGCCTGGCAATCGAGTCAGAAAAACATTCGATTTAGACATGACTTCAATGTCATCTCGCAGCCAAATGACTTGGGTGAAGCTGTTCCTGGATCAAGAAATCAAACAGGCAGGTCGGTCTGGGGGCAAGAAATTGAGTGCTTGCCACCACCACAACCACCTCCAGCACAGCTTGTGGCAGTTGTTCCTTTGCCAACTTGTTACAGAAGCTCTCCGTCGGAAAGTCAGCGCAGTGATGTCGCGGCATGTGGTGCCTATGGAAAAGCACAGAGCACAGGTTGCTACGAGGCCCAACGTGGGCCTGGGCCTGGACTGCCTGGTCCGACTTCAATGAGTGCATCCAGTGCAACCAATGCAACCAATGCAACTGGTTCAAGGCGGGAAGGAAGGGAAGCTACGCTCGAGAGCCTCTTACGTGGGATAGAGACTGATCAGCTTAGCATCAATGATGCGCTGAGAAGCCTGGAAAAATTGCCAATGGCAGAGACACAAACACCATCATTGAAAGACACAAGAGTCTCACCGCCAGCAACCAGACAGACTCAGACTCAAGGAGCCGAAACTACTCGCTGCGGCCAATGCCCAATCTTAGGCTTGCAGGTTCGTGCTCTAGCGCAGTCTTTGTCCGGGTTGGGAGCGAGTGTGGTAAAGTGGTCGACATGTTTGGTTCACAGCAGGCAGACCGAAATAGCTGACATGGTCTTGGAGTATGTTCAGCCCTTGAAACATTTAGATGGACAGTTGGAGGCTCTTTGTCTGGAATTGACACACAGCTTAAATGACTTGACTGACTTGGCGGCAAGCTCTGCACTGGAGATGCAGCATGACTCACTTGACCACACCAACTTGCGACAAAAATGGAGATCTGAAGCAGGAGACTCTCCTTTGACTTCAGTTTTGCGTTCACCACAATTCTTGGCAATGGATATTTCGATGGATGCAATGCGGCCTGAGGAACCAAAACGGTATTGCAGCAAGTTTGCAGAAGATGTCAGTACTTTTTCACCTCAGTCCTCCCTACCCGCTTGGCCGGGACAAATCCAGAGGGTGGCCAAGCATGACACGCAGTCTGACCCTAGACATGCACGTACACCTTCCTTTGACTCCCATCTCAAAGATTCGGAGCAAAGCCTGGGTATATCTCCCACAGAGCTTTGTCACCCATCATTTGGAAAAGGACAGCCTGACCATAGCTGGGAACTTCAGAATCAGTAGCCGGAGAAGTGGCACGGTTACCAAAGACGGCACAACTCTCGTTCCACCATAGTATACAGTTGGATTGTTCAAGCTGCTTCAAGCTTTATATGGATTTTATGGGATTCGATGTCATTGAGAGGTATCACAGGCATCAATTAAAATATCACACCGATATCACTGCTGGTATCATGCTACACAACTACCCACAGTTTTCAAAGCTTTCGTTGTCCCCATTTCTTCCCCAAGTTCAGGTTGAGACATCCAGCGCACGGGTCGCAGCACGGTCCTTTGTGAGACGAGTTTCAATGCAAGAAAAAGAAAGACAGTGCAACACATGCCAAACATTGCAACAAGAGATATCAAAAGATATCAAGAGATATCAAAAACCAAGAGTGAAGAGATGCAAAGAGTGTGAAAACGGCTGCAAGACCTGAAGGCTTCAATCTTGTGAACGCTGACATTCATTTCTTTTACCTGGCTTTTTTTGTGCAGATCTGAGGAGCAACCAGTAGAGTCTGACCCAGTCCCAGTCATGCCTGACGAGCCAGCTGAAGACATTGAACATTTGAAGGCAAGAGTGCAACACACGCACACAGATATTTTTCCGAGAAACAAACCAACCGAATATATATATACATAAATTATACATATAATATACATGAGATACATATACACACACATATATATATATATATATCTATATTTATACACATGATATATATATATATATATTTATACACATAATATTATATATATCATATATATATATATACATAACATGATATATATATATATATATCATGTACATATATATATATATATTTCATGTGTATATATATATATATAATATATCATGCGTGTAAGTATATATAGGCTTGTCCTGGCTTCTGGAACTGCGGCAGCAGTTACGCACACGCGGGGTGGGGGGTGGGGTGGGGTGGGGTGGGATGTTAACGTTCATGTGAACTTGCGGCAGCAGTTGATGCTACGCACACGCGGGGTGGGGTGGGGGGTGGGGTGGGATGTTAACGTTCATGTGAACTTGCGGCAGGATGTTAACGTTCATGTGAACGGGACAAGTTTTACCAACCTAATTCAGGTTTGCGCGGTTCCAGAAGCGGGGACGAGGATGATGATGATGATGATGATGCTGATGATTATGATGATGATGATGATGTGATGCTGATGATGATGATGATGATGCTGATGATGTGATGATGATGATGATGACGATGATGCTGATGATGATGTTGATGATGATGAGGATGATGATGATGAAAATGACCCAAATGAAACTTGTAAATTCCGGGACGAAATTTCGTCCCGGAATGGACAAGTTTTCCCAACCTAATTCAGGTGGTCCGCAGTTCCAGAAGTGGGGACGAGGCTATATATACACATGATATGTATATATATATATATATATTAGATATATACACATTATATATATATATATACATTATATATATATATATACACATTATATATATACATTAGATTTGTATTTATATATTATACATACACATTAAATATACACATTATATGTATATATATATATGGTTTTATATATACATACATATAATATTATGTACTAACATATTAACCATATGTACATAATTTGTACTATATAATATGTATTGTATATACATATTATGCCCGCATATACTGTATATCCATCTAGAAATATTCTGCGACTGGTGAAATGGCAGATGTTTGGACAAATCACATTGAAAGCAGGTCAGAGTTTTCAGCTGTTTTTCCAGTGTGCTGTGATTCCAAGTGCAGACCCACAGGTGTCCATCCGTCTGCCATCTGGTCAGCGAATCACTAGACGGTTTCGACCAGAGGACCCACTCGAGCAGATGGCCCGAGACTTGGAGAAGAGCAGAAGAGCAGTGAAGAGCAGTGGAGAGCAGTGGAGAGCAGTGGAGAGCAGTGGAGAGCAGTGGAGAGCAGTGGAGAAGTCATGT